ATAGTGTGGTGGGCTCCTTTGAGCGACATGAAACCTTCACACTCCTACTGTCATTCTCCTGAGTGTCATGGTCACCCCTTTGCTGCATGTACCACGCCTCTGGTACAACAGATCTACCGTCAACTAATTAGCTCTGGTCCCCGCCGTCACCATCCTGCTTCTATCCGTAATACCAAGTCTATGATTTGCCATGCACTGGTCTCGTGCGTGCCAACCCACAAATGTTGTGATACAGCTTGTTTTGATCTGGTTCAATGTTGAACCACAACATTTGTGAGTTGGCACACAAGAAAATAGGGCATAGGAAGTAATAGGCTTTGTATTATAGACAGAAAGAGGCTAGAAATAGTGGAAACTAGAGCTAGTTGGCTAACAATAGTCGTTACTCAAGGATCACGTATAAGATCAAACACGTCTATTGTTAGCCAAACAGCTTTAGTCTCTACCGCGTCTTTCCTGTTTCTATCTATAACACCATGACTATCACTTCTTATGTCCTAGTCTCTTGTGTGCCAACCCACAAATCTTGTGGTTTTACTTGTTTTGATAAGGCTCACTAAACACGTCTCCTCTTGGCTTCTGATTCTTCCTTTCTCATCCCCTTGCGATCTCTTTTCCTAAAATTAGGGATGTTACCTTGATCCAGTCGTCTTCTTTTTGCTAATCCTGCTGTTGCCTGGTGTTCTCCGACAATGTTTTCTCAAAGGATTGATCGAAACCCATTTTCCCTTTGTAACTTAATATCTCCCACAGACTATGGTGGCCGAAAGCACAGGATTACAACTCATTCAAACCTATGCCTAAATGAAATTTTTAAGTTAACATGATATTTACCAATGCTGCTTATTTTGGCGCAAGGACGTATTTGGCAGGCCTGATTACCGCTTAATTTCCTCCAAACCTAATTCATTTGTAGAATCATGCCACCTTATCTGTCGCGGCATTATGTATTTCGGACAGAGATGGATACTTAGAATGTTTATGACTTATTTTTCGTTTATAAGTAGGATTTTTAGACTACCAGTAGATCATATCTATGAGATGTCCTAACCCTATTTGGACCGGAAGTTGAATTCTCCCACAATTATATGAGTAGACCTAAGGCTTCCGTTGATATTTGCGTAAATTTTTGAGAAAGAAAGGCGCAAGGTCTGATCATGTCATTGTAGAAAAATCCAAATTCCAGTCGCCTTATCAACCTTAATCAAATAGGGTGAATACACCTCATCGTTTTGGATTATATTTTATGGCTGAAATTAAACGGCCTTTGCACCATTCTTTGCTTGGTCAAGCGTATTCTTATTCTCGGGGTGACAATATTAGTCTTCTAGTGCCATTGGATAGAAGTTCCCTCTTTGCCTTATCAAGAAATAAGGCTATAAAAACTAAAGGTATGCTAAATAAACCATTTCTGGTAAGAGGAGTCATTAATTTTTGCAAACACATGCTTATGTGGTCAGTAACGCGGGTGCATTGAATACACTTGATAAAGGATCGAATCATGATCCCCCAAAGTGCACAACCCCTCATATTTTTTCCCATTGACGGTCTATATCCGCTTAGTTTAGAGCCGGAGACTTCAAAACTGACTCTTCGAATATCCATTTGAGAGAACCAGATGTTAAGTGTACTCTTCTGTCCTAAAAAATGGTTGCGTTGAAACTTCATCTAAAAAGAGGTAGGCAGCCGAACAGCCAAAGACGCAAAGGTCAATTCCAACAAAAGACGATGGCGGATTCCTCTTGACCAGCTGAAGAATGAATTTACTGGAACATTCATGATGACGCTGTTTCCGAGGTAATCACCTTCGATTCCGGTGAAAACGTGCTAAGCTTTCGTCCGTCATATGACGGACATTATCAAAGCAAAGTATCATCCTTAAAACCAAATTCAAGAGATCGAGTCAAGAAAATGTACCGGCTTATTTTTAAATGCTTTATATATAGCCCAAATCTAAATTTCTTTACTTGTTAACTACACTTGTAGGCTACAGTTTGAACGAAATAGGGTAAAGACAACTCATATTTTTTTATATATGAAGAGCAACTGGTTCTAATAATGGTCACTCCCCGTACCTTTAGCTTACTCTTTCTATCTCACATAAAGACAAAAAGCTCATCAACATAACCAGACGTCTGTCCGATCTTGCGCAATCGGAGTGATGGTTCAAGCACATACAGAAAGTGGGTGATGGTGATTTTCAAACTTTGATGGCCGAGAATAGAGGTTGCTTTTGCTGTCCTAATTAAATTGAGCCATCACTAATGCTTTCGTACATATGCGAACACATACAGGCGCATACACATGCACGCACAGAGACAGACACACTCACATACTTCGAGGTTGACATATGAATGGAAATACCCAAATCAGTTTATACCTCATTAAAGAGGTCTGATATTGAGTGTATGTACAGCTTTTTAGGGATGAGCCAGTGAGTTTGCCTGACTCGTTAGCTTCAATTTGGTTGTAAAGATGATACCTTTCTCTGATGATATTCGTCACATGACGGACGAAGCTTAGCACGTTTTCACCGGAATCGAAGGAGATTACCTCGGAAACAGCGTCAACAAGAATGTTCCAGTGAAGCTATTCTTCAGCGTCGTCTTCTTATGGAATCTAATTTCGAGTCTATTCACTAAACACTTTCAGCAAGAATATGTGTTAGATAGCATCTCTGTTCATATCACTCAACCTGAAATTGCTTACATGAACAAGGTACAATTTGTAAAGGCCTGGGAGGCAAAGACATTCATTTCATTGAGCAGACTCATAGAAGAGCTTACCGGAATAAAAGAGATGTTTGGGTACTTTTTATTTTTTGGTGATTGTTTCGACTTCTGATCTAATACATTTTTTACGAGTTTCCATATTTTAATGCATATATCTGCAAGGTATTACAATGATCCATTAGCCTGCATACAAAATGAATCAATAAGCAGATAAGTTGTGAACATCATTAAAATTCGAAGGACGAGTCTAATAAATAATACTTTTTCATTCTATCAGTGGATTTTATCACTCTGCATATCAGAAACGATATATGAAAGTAACATATTCTATTTCCATTTCCAAGTCAGCTAGAAATCTTTCGGATTATAGAACAAACAAATTGGTTTCTTCGTTTTATTTCCTGGATTAAAAGAAAAGAGACATTTATTTTTCAATATCATTTTATTTTCGTGTTCAGCAGTTCTGCTTTCGGTCCAAGTAAGTTTCGGACCAGTCACTAGTTCTTGAATAAGAAATTTGCCACCCTCTGTCGCATAATATGATTGGATAGATTTTCCCACAAGTATATCAGTAGACCTCACGATAGCATTGAATTTCTCTCAGCCCTGCTCACAAAAGGTTACCTCATCTCGGCTAGGCCGCAGTTTCTACTTGGCCTCGGACTCATCCTCACCCTAAACAGCATTCGAAACTGAGTCGTGTACACCGAGGCGACACGCTATCACCCTGTGCCATTCAAGGCAAAACACGCCTCTACCGAATTGCATTTACAGTGGGATTGCAGATATATTTACCGTCTACGTGTACCTATACTCGCAGACAACGAAGTTACGAATTTTTTATGCGGACATATGATTAAGTTCTGATTCAAAAATTTGTGGTATACGTCTAAAACAAGAATCATAGTCAATTGCATTTGCATTGTAATATGCTACCACGATTCACATGACCTGGATTCGAAACACTTTGGGGATGCTCATGTGGTCTATACGGCAGTCCAGCCTTCTCATAACCAACTCATGATAAAAACTCCTTAAATCGCCTTACAACAGAATAATTTTTTCAAAGATATGAACACCAAGATGGTGTGACCCTTCGTATGATCGCAGCCTCCTTTCGATGTATATAAATGGGTTGATCTCGCTTTCGCAACTTGGTCTTGTCGTCAGGGCGACTTAGTTGGACGCACCTTGTCTGAAGACCTCTGCCATATTAGTTAGCATGAGAGCGTCTGACGGAAAATGCCTTAAAATCACGTTTAACTGAATGTTATTCATCTATGCTTACTAAAAGGTGTTCTCGTCCTGGGTTGACTTCAGTTTTGGCCTCGTCTATGCCGCATCAGCAGCCCCAGCCTCACACGAACTCGAGTAGTACAGTATATAATCTCGGTACTTTATCACCACGTCACGCTGCCACAAATGACGTCGAGTCACAGAACAGACCTAAATTTCAAGGAAGACCAGGGCTCTCCCTTATCACATTTCTGGCGGGAGTGTAGAAGAGGCTAACTTGCATTTTTGCCATTACAATCGGCTACGCTACTGATATTAATATCAAGTAGGTCTCGAAACTATGAGTAAATCTCGAATAAGAATTGCAGTCTTTATTCAAGACGTAAGGACACTTTCTAAACCTACTTTATACGCATATAAATAATGCGGTTGATTGTCATGGTAAAAATACAAGTTCGCCTCATCGACAAATGAATATGCTATGGAAGAGGCCTGGACTTCTTTGGCACTTGTGGTGGCAACCTGTCGAGATGATACCCTGCACCACCCGGGTTCGCATCAACCTTTAGGAAGGAAAGTTTAATCAGCAATTATCACTTTATGCGACCTAGAGTGACTGGAACTCTTATGAAAGATTAACAAATAATTTCGAAACCTACTGTGTGAATATGACCTGGGGTTCACCATTCCTATTGGAGCCCTCGAATCAGCAATCTGCTTCTTTGGAGGCGGAGTTATTCTCTTTTAGGTCCATTTTTAGCATGTTATAGCCAGATGGGTTGAGGACACGGTGCTAGAAACAGGAAGAATCGGCGCACAACAGACAATTTTATGAAAGGCACAATTTGAGGGCGCACAAGAATAGGGCAAATGACAATATAGACAGGCCTAAAGTCACGTCGGGGCCCTGCATCCTTTCTCACAGGCCTGCTGGTTTGAGAGCTCAGATCGATTGGGACTGTTCGAGATCTGAGACAAACCACAGCCGGTAAGGACAGAAGTGTGAAAAACTGCGAATGTGCGAAACGACGTTCAGATGGTGATTTGAATTCGCCGAAACAGACGCTTTCTGGCATTTGAGCCTCGTGAGGGTGAACTGTGTGTGTGTGTGTATGTGCGTGTATGTTTGTCACCGAGCCATGGACAGACGTGGCATTCGAAGCGTGGAAAAGAGACAGGGCATGCGGTAAGAGCTCTGATCGATACGTTGACCCGAGCAAAGTTGACTTTCGCGAGCAAGACTGTGACAAGACCAGCTGGCCCATGCGATGGTGGCTGCAGAGCAATGTCCAAAAAATGGGTCGCTAAAGCCGGAAACTCCGAGACCAGGAAAATTGTAAGAAAATGCTGTGGGTAAAGAGGCAAGTCGAAGCCGGATTCACTTCCGTTACGAGTCATGTATTCAGCAACCCTGTATAGGCACAAACCTGGACGCAAGCCAAACTGTAGACAAATCATGTAAGCATTTGAGTTGTTGTCTTGATAAAAAATGACTCAACTGGTGGGAAATATCGAGGATTTATTCAGTATTCCAGTTAATTGAGGCACATCGGGACTGGAACACATTGGCCCAGTTAGGCAGCCATCTCAGTTATGCGGAGTTTTACGTAAAGAGATAAAAAGTTATAAAGTTCAAGACAAACTAGCGTTTAATTAGCAACAAATTAGCTATTTAAATGAATTACTGAACAAATCGGAGAAAAATCCTTAATGCTATAGTAGGTACAGTATACGCATATAGTTGTTAATAGTTTGGAGGATTTTGTTTTGTTCCATAAAATTTGTTCAAAATAAGCGGTAGTCTCGAGTAACTGATGGCCCAATTAACCGGAAAGTCTGCGCTTCGTTATCCTTCTGTAACTAGGCCATGTGCACCGAATACAGATGAGGCTATTCTTCCGCTGCTCATGCTTTTGTTGCATAGAATAGTGTACTTATTTTCGGACTGAGTAGTTCTCGAAACCATCGGAAAATATTACTTATTTCAGATCTTTGTAAAGACTTGGCAGTGATTAGAGGATATTTCCAAAGGGTGTACATGAAGATGGGCAAACTTCCTTAGAGCTGTCCTCTTGACTTAGTGTTCACTTGAAGCGTTTGCAATAAGGAATTCCAGCCATGAAGATATCTGTAAAGTGGCACGACTGTCGAAAGCACAGCCAGTTTTTACCCGAAACGAGGACGAATGCTTCATGGACTGCGTCAAAATAGATGTCCTATTAACGTCAAATAGTTACAGAGCAACCGGAATCAGCCGCCTAAATATGGATTCTAGTAGCTATGGTAATATTAGAGGGCTGAATTTAAGTATAAAAGACCTTAAAGATCGAGATTTGCAGAGGTATCGTTGCAGGACGTGAAGCGGCGTACACACAGGCCAGAAGGAATTAGTTTTATTCCAAAGTTTGGAGCAAGAACATTCAGATTCTACAAAAGACGATCGAGCACCTATGGATTTGATCTCCCTGCAAACTTACAGTTTTTGTCTTCATGAAAGCTTTAAGTTTGCTGGTACCTGGACGCTAGCAGAGGAGCTGA